ACCTGGGCATCCAGTTCCCAGGGAGGCGTCCCAGCCAGCACGCAAGCCGCCTCATTCGACAACCGACACTGCACCATCAGTTTTCTAACTCAAATTAAAACACGCTTATCTTGCTGTCAAGACGTCTCTAAAATGCTACAAGGAAGCTTTTTAGCTATAATTCACTACAACTGTTTTATACAAACATCTAACTTCATCTCATATCTTAATCATAAATTAATAGATCAAGCCTTGAAGATAGTAGACATTCCTGAAGAAAATATGAACGGTACAGCAACACGTCAAATATTTAAACTAAACTCAATTCATTTGAACAAACTTCACGCTGCCAATAGAGAAGTAATGTTACAGTCACCGGTACAATCATCAAGGACAGCGATAGAAGCCTCTATCATACAACGATACCACTGTACACGCTTCTACTCATGGGGGGCCTTGCATATCGAAGATACCACCTTAGACACAAAAAGCTTAAGGTGGGACATTCCAGTGAAAATGAAAATCCACAGCAAAGCATCTACGTCATCTCTGAAGCTCAAGGAGACGGATCAGGTCGTCTGCCAGCGCAATTTACGACCAAGGTCTTCAATAGACGCTGTTCTACGGGGGGAGGTGTTACGTAAGCATAACCCGATATTAAGTTTTCGGTATAACAATGGTGTAAAGTACGGAATGCTGACTCTGAGCCATCGGTGGGACTGGGAAAGTGAAGTGGAATGGGATTTTACATATATTCAGTCTGGAGTCAACCGCTGACTTACAGACACCTCTTTAGTACGTAGTTAGTTATAAGACTTAATTATAGAATGGGTTAAGTCAATCGCTGACTTAAAGACCCCGCCCTAGCTAGTAGTTAAATTTATTCTTAATTCTTAATTGAATATATTTTGTAAGTAAAACGAATTTTTCTTGCATCATTCGCTGCCACCAAACGTAATTCGCGTTTAACATTGTGGCAGACGATTTTGAAAATGTTAAAAAAAAAAATTTCGAAAGTAATTGACCAGATATGCCATCAATATATTTTATTTATTATAGTCTTGAAAACTTATATTGTGAATGGCAGACTTTTTCATATAAACATCAGCACATAAATAAATCTGAGACACACTACCCGGTCAGATGTCTATCTATTACGATAGCAGTTTTACATTAATATAATTTACTTAATCGCTGTATTTAATGAATTTAATAAATTCCATGTAGTCTACATACTGAACTTTTAAAGTTAAACGATAAAGGAGATACATAACGAAAAAATCTTAAATATTAAAGTATAGGTACTGCTAAGGACAAAAAATAATTATAATTTGTACATATTTTATTTTTTAAATTTATTTGTTTTGTCAATCATATCAAGTTGTTGATGAGGAGATACAATCAAGTATTGTTGAAGATTTATGTTGTACTGCACAGGAAGAAGCAGACACAATAATCTATCATGCTTGTAATATTGCTGAGCAGTCGAAAATTGTTATCAGAGCCTCTGACACCGATATTTTAATCAAATGATTGGTAAAATCTAATATTTGGATACTCAATGGAACAGGAAATAATGAAAGATATATTAACATCACAAAAACTTATACAGAGCTTGGTGAATGGTTAGCTAAAAGTTTAATCGTCTTCCATGCGTTCACTGGGTGTAATTTTAATCCCGCTTTTTTTAATAAAGGAAATAAAAAACCTTTTACATTGTTAAAAAAATACCGCATTCCAAGAAGCATTTACTGCTCTTGGTGAAGAAAATTTAAAAAGGACTAATTACAACACCAATTTAATGTTATTCAACAATTTGTTTGCCAAAAAATCGCAGGACGTCAATGATGGAAGGTTCCAACTATTTGTCCGTAATTACAAAGCTTCAGACATCAATGAAAATTTCAGCGAAAAAAGTTTAAAATTTGAGGCAACCTCACTTCCACCGTGTAAGAGTGAATTCTACCAACAATTTCTGAGAGGTCATTATATTTCTACAATTTAGAAAAATGCTTACAAAAAGCAACCTACTGATTTAATACCATTTCGATTATGGTTGGATTGAGCAGGTCAAGAAACTAGGAGGTCGACTTCCATCTTTTGTGAGTGACTTAAACACCGATGTTCCTGATAAGTTGATAAAAATCAATTCTTTATCGAATATGTTCGAATCAATTTACAAGTTATTTATATTTTAAAATTAACGTTTAATTAAGCAGAATCCGGTTCAATGGATATGGATGATGAAGACGACTTCAAAGATAATAACCATGGCTCGGATGATGATGATTGAAGATCAAAATTAATGATTTAGTAATGCATCAATATAATATCAAAATTAATATATATATTAAGGAAACACACTTTAAATTTTAATAAAACTATCAAAATTCCCGAACGCAACCGAGACGAATTTTACAATAAAACATTTGATTGGCTCTCTTTTGCGACTGCGCCGTGGGATAGTGGTTGTCGATGCGATTTGTGAGTGGTGATGTAATGTAAACTATCATTAAAAAAAAAATTACCATCTGATAAAGAGTTAAAAAAAATGGGCATGGGAGCTTTTGCACAAGTCGTGTCTAACGATCACAATATAGCTATTTTTTGAGAGGAGTTCTAATCTACAACCTGATGCTCTATACAAAGCTGTGAAAATAATAAAAAAACCAGTAGCGGAGAGGCCTGATAATGCTACTCGTTACGACCCAACGGGACATCTTCCTGCGTTTACGACAAAAGGCAGATGTAAACTATGTACGAAACATCAAACCAAATTTTTTTGTCCAAAGTGTAACGCACGGTGTATAGTTGAAGGGCGAAATTGCTTTATAGATTTTCAAAGTAGTATTTAAGTTTTTCATATTGTTACACAATAGATAGATATGTAAGTAAACTTTGATCTCAGAGCTTTAGGACTGAATATTGTGATAAATAATGATAAGAAGTTTAACTTTGTTTGAAAAAAAAATTTTTAACTGATGTAACATGCGTTACTTATTGACCTAGTTCCTAACCGATCTCAAAACTTGTTAATATTTTTTAAGATTTATATTATTTTTACATTTTTGTTTAGTTATAACATGGCAGTGTGCATGTAAAATCACGTTCTTCTTTATCTTTTTTTGAAGAAAGTTGAAAAATTATAAAAAAACACCTAAAGATAGAATTAAACGTTCTTATATAGAAACGAGATTGGAAATATTGGAACAGTTGTTTATTGACTTTAAGAATGAACACAAGGCGATCATTTCGAGTGATTCTGTTGACAAGAAGGAATCATACTTCACCGAGGGTAAATACGAGATGTTTGAAGAGTTATACGTACAATATAAAACTAACCTACTAGAAGCTTTAGATGAGTCTTCGACGCCACGTGCAGATACACTTATCTCGACAGTATATATTATATATAGATCTACGCCGTGTTCAACACCTGCTAAACGAGCTAAAGAAGATGAAACTGGATCCAACTTCACGCGTGAAGCTCATGACACTTTTTGGGATTGTTTCATTGAAGTAGCAAAGGATAATAGAAGTGATTGTGGGAATCAAGAAAAACAAAATCCAATTGTTAACGAGATTGATTTTTTCTTAAAGACAGCTCGTATCGATCGCAATCACGACCCATATATTTGGTGGTCAGTTAATGTGAACCAGTACCCGCAGTTGTCAAGGTTTGCCAGAATTTATCTTTCAGCACCTGGCAGCAGCGTTTATAGCGAAAGGCTGTTTTCAGAAGCGGGTCTGGTATACGAAGATAAGCGGAGTCGCCTGTTACCAACAAATGCGGAAAATTTGGTATTCATTCACCACAATTTGCCCCTTGTTAATTTTGAGTACTAAACGAACTGATTAATATTTAACCAATTACTTAGCAATTATAAAAATAAAACTTGTTCTTATCCTATATGTCGTATCATTTGCTTTGTGTAAACTTCGTAATGTATTTTTATTTTAATATCCGAAATTCGGCCGGATACTGTATTACTATCCGGTATCCGGCCGGATAGTGAAAACAAGGCCGGATAGTTACCGGATATCCGTTTCATCTCTAGTATATAATACAAAAGGGCACAGTAAGTGCAGTGACATTAAATTACCGCGCGTACAATTACCTACTTTTGGCAGAAAATATGAGGAATGGCAGACTTTCTATGACATGTTTTCCTCGTTAATACACAACAATGTCAATTATCGTATATTTTTGCAGCAGTGTAATACACAGCGGGCAGACAGTATATATAATATTTATATACAAAAATGATATACAAGTAATCGTTTTGAACCTTAGGTTTAACTTGTCATCGAATAGATTATTGAATGTATTTATTTTTTTGTTCTTGATATTTCGATTTTAGTTTATTAGCTTTATTACTATAAAATGATAAAGTGTAATTGTCATAATTAAACGATAATTGTTATAATATTGTAAAAGCGTGTCTGGTAAAATAAATCTTTGTATTTTCAGAGAAACATATTGTGGTTTGCTTTGAGTGCCCTTGATAATATTCCTTATATATATAAAATACTTACACCTTTTAGTAGATCACTACACAAGATTTGCTTTTATTGCGACTTCAAAAACACAGAATGCAAGTGTGAAGTGACTGTCTTAAATTAACTAAGGATGTACTAATAAGATTGGAATATTTGTGTCAGATCAATATCCAGGAATCAATTCAAATGAATTTAAACAATATTTGCAGGAGAATAACATTAAACTAATTTATACAGCTGTGAATACATCATTCTCGAACGGGCTGAACGAACGATTAAACCAAACAATAGTAAATAAAAGATGGAAAATAAATGAGAAAAATAATAAGAAAAAATGGACAATTGTGGCAAGAGAATATATCGTCATCAGCCTATCAACGCCCACTGCTGAGCATAGCCTCTTCTCACATGGAGAAGGTTTTTTGAGCATTAATCACCACGCTTGCTCAAGACGGATTGGTGATTTTCTTGTCGTTTTTATGACAAGAAAACTTTATTAGTTGAGAAATATCTCAGACAGGATGTCCGATTCCTACAATGGTAGACGTATCAATCCGATCCAGCGTGGAAAGCCCGCTAGCGGATTCGATAGTCAAAACCGAAGACCCAATACCGGTACAAGGAGCCAGAGGCGAGCATATGAATTACAGCAGCAGAGAGCAGCTGAGACAGATTGGGCAGAGGCGCGTGAGTTTGAAGAACGCCCCCCAGAACCACGTGGTCCGACACAAAGAAGCGTAGCCTGGAAGGACAAACAAAAGAAGAAAGTAGAAAAGGAGAAGAGAATATATACAGAAATATAATTTACTGGATGGTACAAATGTCAGTATTTTACCAACTGAAATTAAAAAAATAGTAAAGGAAGACAAGTGGATTGCTGATAGACAATTAGCATTAGAGAAACAACAAGAATTTTTTTGATAAAAATAGGAAAATGGAAGAGTTCGATATAGGAGACAGTGACGAACGACGAACGACGAAGATGAATTAAAAAAAGGCCCTTTCAAGATAATAGAGAAAATATCAAACTCCATTTATAAGATTGAGATTGGCAATAGAAAAACAGAATCAACTTTATTTACGCTTACGTTTGAAAATTACATTATAGCATGGGATCTATTAGAAAACCGATATTACAATAATCGTTTTCTCGTACAAAACCATGTAAAGTGTTATTTTATACTGTGGCGGTAAATAAGGAGTCACCGGTTCAAATACGTGAATTAATTGACAATATTTTGAAGAGCATACGTGCTCTTAAAACGTTAGGTGAACCAACCAAATATTGGGACACTAATTATATATGTCGCCCAATTGCAATTTGAATAATCAATAATTGAGGCTAGATAAATTATCAGAGCTGGCCTCCTGTGCCAACTGTGCAAGAGACCACCCAGTGAACTCCTCTTGCTGCCCGGAATATATGAAAGAGGCTAGAAACAAGAAGGCGGGCACGGTAGCGCAAACCACCACGGCTCCCCTTCCCAGAGCGGCTCAAATCCCGGAAGGTGAACGTAATGCAGCCGGGTCTCTGATGGCGGTCGCAAGCGATCCGACCGCATCCAGAGGGACCCGAAACAAGAAGCGCCGACAACGGAGGCGTCGACAGGCGAGGACTGACGTCAACCCAGACCTCCCTCCCCCGCATCTACCTCCGAAACAGGGCCCACGTCTACCTCAGTGACTGCCCCGGTACCTATATCAGCGCGTCAGGAGACCAAGGTTGCCCCCTGTCCTCTACGGGCAGAAAATCCAAACCCACAGCAACCGAGCAAGCTACTGCGTACGCAGTACCGATAACGGAGGTCATTCAGATCCTTCAGGAGATCTTAGCGGCCGTCCAGGAAGGCCGAGTCAAGGAGGTTGTCCCGACCATCCTCAGAGCCCTGACAAGGCTTTTAGTTCGATAGAATACTGAGGGTGGTCCAATAGAACGCTGACAATGGTACGCCGCAGTGATTGAAAATAAGAGGAGGCTGCGAAGGTGATATCAGCGCACCCGATGCCCTACCATCAAGTCCCAGCTCAATGCTCTGGCGGAGAGAGTCTCAGCGGTGTTGGAGGACCACGCTGTGGACTCCTGGTACAAGACCATCGAGCGAGCTGGAGAAGACTGGAGAGGTATCCACCGCATATGCCGCCACGTTACCGCGCAACGGACCGAGCCGACATCTTCGCTGACTACCTGGAGACCCAGTTCCAACCATACCCAGCCGAAGACACCCAGCACGTAGAGGAAGTCGAACAAACCGTAGACGAATACCTCGAGCAAGCGATAGCCCCCACGGAAGACCCCATAATCATCACCCCCGGCCAATTTTTTTCCAGATTCGCCGTACTAAGCTCCGGAAGGCCCCGGTCCTGATGGAATTACAAACGAAGCCACCCGTCACCTCCCCGCTCGTGGCATAATAGCAGTGACGAGATTAAAATTGTAAAAAATTGTTATCTTGCTAATATTCCTTGTATCTCATTTTAAGTGAATGTAAAATTCTTATGAGAAATAAAAAGTTCTTTATACTCATTATACAACGGAGTCCTCAGGACCGGCCACTTCCCTACCCAATGGAAGCTCGGAGGAGTCATCACGTTACCGAAGCCATGTCACATAATAATAATAATAATAGCACAGTGTTAAAAACGAAACACATAAACTATATTACGATCGCGCAATTTTGACTGATAGGACCATCCATTACAATCGGCCTGATATAGTGCTCACAGACAAACACAATAAAATTACATTTTTAATTGACATAGCTGTACCTAACACTCACAATTTGCAAAAAAACAATAGCGGAGAAAATTCATAAATACACCGTCCTTAAAGACGAAGTCCTAAGCATCTGGAAGCAAAATAAAGTCTACGTAGTACCCATAGTCCTATCAACGACCGGCGTTATCCCCAATAATTTACATAATAGCCTTAAACTTATTGGACTGAAACCCACTTCTTATATACATATAATACCAAAAAGCCGCTATACTGAACACATGTAGAATAGTTAGGAAATTTTTAGAGTTAGATGAAACCTTTCCACAAACTTAAATCAATCCAACAGTAACCTCTACTTGACGCCAGTCCGTAAAGGTTACTTATATTCTACCGGTGTATGCCGAGAAGACAAATATATATAAATAATAATAATAGTTTATTTTAGTAAACATAAACCTGACACAAATCATATAAAAAGGACATCGAATCAACAATACAAGACGCATAGCTCTATATCTACGCAAAATAAACAAAATAAATTTATCAAAGGAATATAAATTGTTTATAAATGAATATATTGAGTTGGGACACATGAAACCGTCAAGTAACACGAAACCATCATGTTATTTACCACACCATTGTGTTTTACGTGACGATTCAACAACAAAATTACTGAGAGTCGTATTTAATGCGTCATCGCTCACATCATAGGGATTGAGTTTAAACGATCTCATGTATAAAGGACTCAATTTAAAACAAAATCTTCAATTATTAATATTACAATGGCGACAATACAAAATCGCGTTTACGAAAGATATTGAAAAAAAGTTTAAAACATATGGATGCACGAGGATGACCAGAATTTACAGAAAATTGTGTGGAGAGATGAGCCGAAGGATAAGTTGCAGGAGTATCAATTAACTACAGTTACATACGGTTTAAAAGCCACTCTTTTTCTCGCTATGATAACTTTACGACAGTTAGAGAACGATGAACGAGATAATTATCACGAAGCAGCAAAAATCATTGAACAGTCATTCTATATACTTTATCATCAGTAAAGGGACTTAATTAATTTATTAAAGTCTGGTGGATTCAATTTACGAAAATGGGTATCAAATAATCCTAATTTGTTACAAGGACAAATTAATGATCAAAATCAACAAAGCACTCTTCATTTTAATTGACTTCATTTGAATCTACATTGACGAAAAAACAAACAAGAATATCAACTCGTCGTGGACTCAGTTCTGCAATCATGACTTTGCTTTATTTCATGATCACTATATCCAGCACATATTCGACTTCAAATATAACTAAATTTAGAAACAATCAAGGTTTATAGTTCGATAAGTTTGGAGATATGCAAATAATACGGGACGATTGGAAACTTATTCTATATTACAATATGGAACCTTATTGGGAAGGAATAACAGCCATTAATAAGAATAAAAAATCACTAAAACAAACCTGCAAAAAAATAAGAACTCAGACACGATGCGAGCTACTACATATTATTACAATTACGTCACGGGTGCGACGAACTGGTATATTACAATCAGCTGTTACTTGGTCAGCATATTGTATTAACGGAGTCGGCTATCTTGCAAATAGCCTGTTCGAAGCAGGTACTGGACGCAAGATTCGCTGAACAATATGAAAGAGATATCACATTACTTCGTACTAACCAATTAAACTTAGCATCATACGGGAAAAATCAAACTTCTATAATTGAAGCTGAAATTAACGTTCTTAAGCAATCAGTACAAAATGATTCATCAGTACATTAATTTATTGGATCAATCGACAAATATGTTTCAATCAGAAATTCAAAATATGACAATAATTAATGAAATGCTCGCAGGAGCTGTCATCTTCTATTCATGGATCTAACAGAAATATTACGTATGATAACTGGTTTACTTCGATCCCAGCTGCTGAAAAACTGCTATCAAAAAATATTACCACAGTTGGAACACTGAAAAAAAAACAAAACAGAAATACCTACCCACTTCTTGGAAACAAAAGATCGTAACAAGAACACATCGATGTTTGTTTTTCATATCGAACTTACTTTGCTATCATATGTGCCTCCAAAGCTAAGTAAAGGAAAAAAGAAAAACGTTCTTATGCTTTCCACTATGCACTACCAAGCAGACCCAGACAAATCTGTGAATTTACCAGAAATAATAAGTTTTTATAATCAAACGAAAGGTGGTGTAGATACTTTCGACCAACTTTGTCATACGTACAGTGTTTCTCGTAAAACTCGCCGCTGGAGTCTTTGTTCTACGGAATTTTGAATATTGTCGGAATCAATTCTATGATACTATTGCATTCATCTAACGCCACCGGTAAACAAGTTTTCAAGAATAGACGAACTTATCTGAAGACTCTAGCTTTTGACCTTATAAAACCTCACTTGGAGGACCGATTTTTATACAAAACTTTGCCGATGCATCTCCAGATAAGTATTGGAGGTATCTTGGGAAAAAAGCGATCTTCTGAAACTCCGACCCCTTCTAATTCCAATTCTGGAAGATGTTCGTTTTGTCCCAGGACAAAAGATCGAAAATCACGCACTCGATGCTATAAATGTAATAAATTTATATGTTTAGAGCACCAGACAAAGATTTGTCAAAATTGTTAAAAAAAACTTTATTTTATTGTTCCTGATTGTTACTATTGAGACTGAAATAAGTGCCATAAAAGTCCTATGTAAGTTAATTCATAATAAATGTTTATTCTTATTCGAAGATGATGTTTTATTTACAGGGGTACACCAGCACCCCAGGGTACTGTTACTTAAAGTCTAATATGGGTACGGTTCTAGGGTTAAACTCGAGTCTATTTACGAACAGAAAAGTGAATTGAATAAGATGATTATACATGAAACATTTTATCAGTATAAAATGTCACCTAATGACACAATTGCTCAACATATTTCCAACGTAAAATCTTGCGAAGCAATTGAAAGAAAGTGGAGAGAACCTGAGTGAAACAAGAGAAAAAAGGCAAACAAAACCAAATGAACACCGTGGTAATGCTCACAAGCAAAACACAAATCCCAAACATCGCTTTGAATGTTACAACTGTGGTAAGCGAGGACAATTTTCCAAAGAGTGTCGAACTCCAAGAAAATTTACAAGAAAGTCTAGCAATATGATGGCTTTCAATATTGAAAATAGAATTGAAATGAATGATGGTGATATTTGGATCTTAGACACGGTGTCTCAGCGCATATAACTTATAAAAAAAGCATTTTTACTCATTTAGAGAAATGCACCCAGAGGTCATTGACATTCGGTAATGAACAGCTGGTTGAAGTATGTGGAATTGGAAGTATAATGATAGAAAGATTTGTTAATGGACAATGGTACTCCGGAATATTAAATGTTGTACTCTATGTTCCAAGTTTGAAGAGAAATCTATTCTCTGAAGGTGTTATAATGCTTCAAGGTTACTCACTAACCAAGAAAGGAAATAGCGCTCTAATTTATATGAACAGAGAAGTGGTGATGACTGCACAAATGAAAACAAACAACTTATACGAGTTAAATATTTGTTGTTCCTGAAAAATGTAATTTAATACAAGACTGTATTGACATTAGAAAGTGGCATGAAAGACTTGGTCATATAAATCTGAAAGAAATAAAAAACATGAATGCAAATAATGTGGTTGAAGGTTTGAAAATAAAAGGTGATACAGCAGACAATTACACTTGTGAAGCATGTGCATATGGGAAGCAACATCGTTTCAAAAATCCTCAAGAGGTGAAATACAGCCAGGTGACCTTATTTACAGTGATGTATGTGGCCCTATGAGTCACACATCAGTGCGAGTTATGCGATACTTTGTATTATTCAAAGATGCCAAGACAAGTTACAGGCATGTGTATTTTATAAGAAATAAATCTGATGTTCTACATTACTTTAAAATTTATAATGCCATGATTAAGAACAAATATATGCACAGTGTAAAAATTTTACACACTGACAATGGGAAAGAATATGTAAATACTGCTTTTAAGGAGTGTACTTAAAAAGAAGGCATAATACATGAATTTACAGCACCCTACACCCCTGAACAAAATGGACGTGCAGAGAGGGAGTTACGAACCATAGTTGAAAGTGCCCGCTCAATGTTATATGCTCGCTCAATGACAAAGCGAGCGTCTGATTGGGCGAACGACTGCGTATTAGAAACTTAACATGTCACATAGTAATAATAATAGTTTATTTTAGTAAACATAAACCTGACACAAATCATATATAAAGGACATCGAATCAACAATACAAGACGCATAGCTTTATATCTACGCAAAATAAACAAAATAAATTTATCAAAGGAATATAAATTGTTTATAAATTAATACATATATTGAGCTGGGACACATGAAACCGTCAAGTAACACGAAACCATCATGTTATTTACCACACCATTGTGTTTTAGGTGACGATTCTACAACAACGTCACTGCGAGTCGTATTTAATGCGTCATCGATACATCATAGGGATTGAGTTTAAACGATCTCATGTATAAAGGACTCAATTTACAACAAAATCTTCAATTATTAATATTAAAATGGCGATTATACAAAATCGCGTATACAGAAGATATTGAAAAAATGCTTCAAAACATATGGATGCACGAGCTTGACCAGAATTTACAGAAAATTGTGTGGAGAGATGATCCGAAGGATAAGTTGCAGGAGTATCAATTAACTACAGTTACATACGGTTTAAAAGCCGCTCTTTTTCTCGCTATGATAACATTACGACAGTTAGCGAACGATGAACGAGATAATTATCAAGAAGCAGCAAAAATCATTGAACAGTCATTCTATATACTTTATCATCAGCAAAGGAACTACAAAGGGACTTAATTAATTTATTAAAGTCTGGTGGATTCAATTTACGAAAATGGGTATCAAACAATACTAATTTGTTACAAGGACAAATTAATGATCAAAATCAACAAAGCACTCTTCATTTTAACCTAACTTTGCTTTTTAATTTAACTTTGCTTTTCTTCATGATCACTATATCCAGCACACATTCAACTTCAAATATAACCAAATTTAGAGACAATCAAGGTTTATACTTCGATACGTTTGGAGATATGCAAATAATACGGGACGATTGGAAACTTGTTCTATATTACAATATGGAACCTTATTGGGAAGGAATAACAGCCATTAATAAGAATAAAAAATCACTCGAACCAACATGCAAAAAAATAAGAACTAAGACACGATGCGAGTTACTATTATTACAGTTACGTCACGGGTGCGACTGGAATATTACAATCAGCTGTTACTTGGTCAGCATATTTTATTAACGGAGTCGTCTATCTTGCAAATAGCCTGTTCGAAGCAGGTACTGGACGCAAGATTCGCAGAACAATATGAAAGAGATATCCAATTACTTCGTACTAACCAATTAAACTTAGCATTATACTGGAAAAATCAAACATCTATAATTGAAGCTGAAAATAACGTTCTTAAGCAATCAGTACAAAATGATTCATTAGCACATTAATTTATTGGATCAATAGACAAATAATTTTCAATCAGAAATTCAAAATATAACAATAATTAATGAAATGCTCGCAGGAGCTGTCATCGGAAGTAACATGCTTAATAATCTAAAAAAATTACAGAGAACGTTACTAGACACCATTACAGTCTACAGATATATATCATGGTTGATTGAATCTACATTTAATAACACCTAAGCAGTTGGGAAAGCAACTTAGTACCATAACAAGCAACTTTATAAAGACGTGACCTTGCTAATACCCAATATATGTACACAAAAAAATAAAATTTATAAATTGATTCAATAGAGAGCAAGAATATTAAAAAATATTTAATAATAGAGATAAGAATACCATTGGTAATTGGAGACATATATGAAATATTTCGTAATTCCAATACCTAATGGAAAGGAAAATAACATGATTAGCATTATACCGTTATCGAATTATGTAGCAATCAACTTAAAACATAACATTATAAGTTAAATTATTTAATAAATAAAAATATATGTCCTAAATTATGTTTAGGAACCTTAAAGCAATATAGAAAGATTACAAAACTATGTTTAAATTACAGAAACTGTGTTTAATGAATTACCGTGTAATGCATTTTTAAACAAGCGAAAATTTGATGCTTTGTTGGCTTACTGATGTATAATAATGTTCGCTGGTTGAGTCGCGGGAATGTATTTGAAAGATTTATTGATTTCTTTGAAGAAATCAGACTGTTTTTGCAAAATGAGGGAAAAATTGAACAATACCCACAGTTGTTGGACGTTATGTGGCTTTCAAAATTGACGTTTTTTGCAGACATATGCCAACATTTAAATACATTTAACGTAAAGCTTCAAGGGACAAACAAAACAATTATTGTCATAATAGATCTCATTTTAAACTGCAAGTTTTCAGAAACGATATTATCACAAGAAACTACAAGTATTATCCAAACTTGAAAAAATATATCAATGATTTTGATATTCACGATATAGCAGACAAAGATAAATTTACTGAAGAATTTATTGCTGTGATCGATTCTTTAATCAAGGAATTTTCAGGGAGATTTTCTCAGTTCAAAGAATTGTCGGAAATATTCAATTTTATTATGTAAACTGATGTGACGTCATTTCATAAACTGAACTTCTCTCAATTTGATTGGTTGGATATTGAAGAATTTGAAATGCAGCTAATTGATTTCCAATCTAGTTCAATATGGATTCAAAAATTTATTGAAACGAGGAAAGAGTTGGAATTAATTGAAACTGAAAGATTGACAAGTTATTTAAGTAAAAATTCTGGAAACATGGAATGCGTTACCAGACACATTTAACTGTTTGAAGAAGCTGGCTCATGCTATTTTAACAATGTTTTCATCTACCTATGCCTGCGAGTCATTGTTTTCAGAGATGAATAACATTAAAAACTCATTTAGAAATCGTTTGACAGATGAATCCAGTTCAGCATGCATTTTGCTAAAAGTAACATCTTATAACCCTGACATAAATTATTTGTCATCTAACCTGCAGCAACAGAAGTCACACTAATTTTACAATAATTTAATTTATGCGTGTAATAAAAACATTCCAAAATGTACCTCTTTTGTTTACTTTATTTCATAAAGAGTTTTGATAGTATTTATTATTGCTATTCTCCAAATAATCAGAAAGTCAAAATTATTTGATGGCACGCCAATGACCCCATTAAACATTTTTTAGAAAAAATGGCACGTCGATGCATAAAGGTTCGCCTACCCTGGTTAGGGCATATAATCTAGAAATACAATGCTTCCCTGAATTCAAGTCAGAAACTACTGTAAAACAAATAGCTAACACCGTGAAATGTAACTTAAACGATAATGACGTACAAACTTGTACGAGGATTATGAAAATCAATAGGGATAGCCCACGCCCAAGGTCAATTCTGGTGAAATTTAGTAAAATGAGAATTAGAGATAGTTTTATAGCGGCAGTTATATCATTAAATAAAAAAGCGAGCAATAACAAAGAAAAACTGAATACGAGTCACCTAGGAATTAGAGGGGACAAAAAACCTGTTTACGTATGTGAACATCTTCCTCCTGACTTAAAAACCCTGCATGCTGAAGCACGTTTAAAGTCAAAACAAATTGGATACCGCTATGTCTGGGTGAAGAATGGACGAGTATATATGCGCAGAACAGAAAATACGGAATACGTTTATGTTAAAAACTTTGATATTCTTAAGAATTTATCGTAATATTAACAGGTTCACAGTCCAAACTTCAGAGAGGAAAAACCCCCGACGTCCAATTCATTTTTTTAATAAAAGCGATATTTTATGGGTGTAGGTATATATATATATATTATTATTATTATTATATACATAACAGAAATTTCGTTTTTTTTAACATACCACATATGGTCTTTGGACTCGTTAGAACGAAATCGACTAAAAACTCCTCCTAAGTCCACAGACCACACGCGGTCTGTGCAATATTTTGTCAATATCATTTACGAAATGACAGTTATAAATCATAACTTTGACGTTTGACGTAAATATTTGTAGTTCCAAACAATTGACTAATGACATAAGTGACAATAGCATTGTTTTTGTTGGCGAGGTAGCATTGATTTTGTAAGAGGTTATTTTGTGCTTGTTCCGATTGTTTTTGTTGTTTTTGCGTAAAAATGAGTAAGAAACAGCAGTATACTGACGAAGAACTAAGGCGAATATTAGAAGAGAGTGATTATGAAAATAACTCTGAGCCAAATTCATCGAACGAAGATGATTCTGCAACTGAAGAAGAGCATAGTGATGTGCCTGATTTTGGCGACGACGACAGTGTCGCAGATCCTGATTTTGTTCCAAGTGAGCTGTCAGTTGAACCTCTAGACGTAAGTGAACTAAATGATATTCAGATAAACAGGAATGAAAATATAAATATCCAGCGTTCTCCATCACATTCAACATCGATTCAAGATGGCGACATTTTTGATGACCAGCATTCTCCATCACATTCAATATCGATTCAAGGTGGCAACATTTCTGAAACCACACCAATCAATTCCAATAGAGACAGAGAAATAACTACAGGTCCAAGGATTGGCATAAGACCAACAACAGAGAGTCAAATGAAAGAACATGATCAGGAAGAAGGTTGGAATTATGAAATTCAGCCGTTAGGGCGACAAAGTTTTAGTAGCGAAACAAATTTCATACATATTGAAAATATACCAGAAAATGCAGATGTGTATACTGTATTTCGTCTTTTGGTTGATGACAGCGTAATAGACTTGATGATAGAACAGACCAATATATACGCTGAGCAACTAATCGCTGTTAATCCTGGTGGTCGTATGAATCGCTGGAAACCAGTAAACAAGGAAGATATGGAGAAGTTTTTGGGCATTTACTTAGTGACTGGTATAATAAAATTCCCTACATTAGAATGCTACTGGAAAAAAGATCCTATTTTCTATCATCCGCTGATGCATAACATACAAATGTCCTACAATCGTTTCGTAACAATATTACGTTGCTGGCACTTTGTCGACAACACTGCTGAAAGAGATGCCAACGATCGCTTGTACAAAGTGAAGCCAGTTATAGATATCGTGATGAACAACTGTAGAAAACTTCTATCACCAAATGACTGCGTTGTTGTCGATGAGTCTATGGTTCCTTTTCAAGGGCGACTACTGATTCGTCAGTATAATCCAAATAAGACCCATAAGTACGGACTAAAAATTTACAAGGCTACAACTGACGATGGCTACGTTTGGAAATATAAAGTATATACTGGTCAGGATCCTCAAATATCCAATCTCGATAAACCCGGAAGCGTTGTGGTCGAACTTTGTGAAGATCTTTTAGACACGGGGAGAATGATAATTGGTATACAAGTCTACCGTTAGCGGAATATTTACTTCAACGTAAAACAGATCTTTGTGGGACTTTGAGGAAAAATCGAAAAAACTTGCCATTACTGGTAAAGAATAAGAAATTAAACAGGGGAGAGCATATCGCTGCACAGAAGAATAATGTGACGGTCCTAAAATGGAAGGACAAAAGAGATGTCCTAATGATATCCACTTGTCACGCAGATGAGCAAACAATGTCTAATGGCCGAAACCAGCGTCTAAAGCCCAATATGATACTGGAATACAACGATCGAAAGAAAGTATCGATCTTTCTGACGAGTTAGCAAGTTACTATTCACCGATTCGTAAGACGCTGACATGGTACAAAAAAGTTGCTGTCGACGTGCTATTTGGAGTTGGTATAGTAAATACGGTTTATTTGTACAATAAATTGAACCAGCAAAATAAATGTACTCTTTTGCAAGCACAAATGGATATTGTAAAAAAAATTATTGGGTATAAACGTTGTCCAGTCAGCGTCAATACTTACGCCGCTAAGGAGTTCCACTGAAAATACCTCTCAAGGAATTCGAAATGTTCGTCCATCCACGTCACAGATGCAGCATTTCCTCACGGAGCTAGATCGAAAAGATGGAAAAAAGACAAGACGTCGGTGTACCGGGTGCTATGATGAACATCGTCAAAAAGGTGAAACTGCAGCTGCTGCCACCAATAAGGCCAAACGAGTTTCACAAATATGTAATATTTGTACAAAACCATACTGTCTACAGTGTTTCAAAAAAGCTCATAACAACATGTAAAATTTTATTTCATTTGCTTTTTCAAGTACTTTTTTTTTTCAAATATCTTATTTTTTTCAATAAATAATTTTCTTTCTCATATTCCGTATTTTTTTCTACCTATCCTATGACGAGTTAGTTATAGAAATAAGCAAAAACAATAAAATGTAGTAAAATCTGTATACAGTATAAAATGAAAATTATAGATAAAAAAAAAATGTACTTTTTCAGAAAATCGTACATCTCTGCCCCATGTCCCAGCACTTTTTGTGTTCTCTAGGATATGTCCTGTCAAGTTCATGTCAAATAAACGCCGTTCTGCCTACGTCCATAGCTGTAAAAAACCTTAAAATTGTATCAACGAACAGACCACATATGGACTGTGGACTGATAGTGCTTTCCGTCTACAGACCGCATGTGGGCTGTGGACTGTGAACCTGTTAATTTTGTATGTTTTCTTAATTAATAGTTTTGATTATCATTTTAACCGAAACATGGCTTAACAGCAATGTCTCTGTTAATGAAATATTTGATCTATATTTTAATAACAATAACCCCAATCACAAACACACATCACCACACACAAAAATGTTTAAAAATTTCATTCTCAACATACAAAACTTTTCAAACATCTACTTCCCATCTCATATATTATACGATTGCAGTGCCTACCATACTCATAATTTATAATCCAGCTTGTCCATCCATCATTAAGCCGTGCCTTTTGTATCCCTTGCTTAAAATTCGATAGTACTAGTGTCAAATCTATATCTCAAAATCTTGATTCATTTTCAGTATCTAAAGTATTAAATGTGATATAGACAATGTTGATTCTTACATAAATAATAAAAGTACTAATTTAAAAATCAACTGACAAAATATACGAAGTATAAGGTGTAATATACACAACTTTAACGTTTTCATAACGAGGTCTTAGATAGATTGGGACGTACGAGGGGAGGTCAAAAAGTTCGCGGAATGGAGGGGTTGGAGGGGGTTGATTTACTCGTCCAGGTAGTAACTTGTTCAACACCTCATTAATAGTATATATACCAAGTTTGAACCAAATCGGGTCATTAACTTTTGAGTTATTGACCTGCAAACAAGTGAATCGGGAAGAAGTCAGTGAGTATGGAGAAAATTGAACACCGCGCCGTTATGAAGTTCCTCACCAAGCAAGGAAAATCCGCTCAGACGATTTTTGAAGAGCTGTTATCAGTTTACGCGGACTCTGCCCCTGGTAAAACCATGGTTTACAAGTGGCATGGACTTTTTAAACAAGGGAGAGAGTCCATTGAAGATGACCCCCGCTCCGGACGACCGATTGAGGCCACCACACCGGAAATCGTCGCAAAAGTAGAAAAACTTATATTGGAAGATGCCCGGTTGAAGAAGAAACAACTTGCAGCAATGGTTGGAGTATCCGAAACCAGCATTTTAAATATCCTACATCATTATCTTGGGATGACTAAGGTCAGTGCAAGATGGGTTCCGAGAATGCTCACGCCACTTCAAAAGAGCGAGCGTGTCGAGTGTTCTCGCCAGTTTTTAAAGCTCTGTGGGGAGAATAAGGACGAAGTTATGGACCGGATTGTTACTGGTGATGAAACCTGGGTTCACCACTATGAACCTGAATCGAAGCAAGAATCGATGCAGTGGCATAAAAAAGGTACAGCTCCTCCAAAGAAGTTTAAAGTGTCACAATCGGCCGGAAAGATCATGGCTACTGTCTTTTGGGATACAGAAGGTATTTTGCTGATCGATTATAAAGATCGTGGTGTGACTATAACGGGACAGTACTACGCTTCTTTATTAGATAGATTGAAAGAAGCTATCAAGGAAAAAAGAAGAGGAAAGCTGTCAAAAGGTGTGCTCCTTTTGCACGACAACGCAACAGTCCATACGTGTCATGTTACGACGGCTGCCATTCACCGATGCGGATTCGAAAAATTAAACCACCCACCTTACAGTCCAGACTTAGCCCCTAGCGACTATTATTTGTTTCCAAAAATGAAAAAAGAGCTGCGTGGAAAAAAATTTGGCGATGATGACGAAGTCAAGTCCGCAATTTCGGCCTATTTTGATAGCCAAGACAAATCATTTTTTTTCGATGGTATAAACAAATTATTTGAGAGATCTGAAAAATGTATTAAGGTTAAGGGAGAATATATTGAAAAGGAAAAATAGTTTCGTGTTAAATTTCAACCCCCTTCCCGCTCATTCCGCGAACTTTTTGACCTCCCCTCGTAATTGTTCTGAGTGTTGGCTCTCTTTAACGCAATATGTTCCAGACCTCCACCAATATAATAGCTTTTCTACTACCTCTCATAAAACTCAAAACGATGGTGTTGTAATATATTATAAAGTAGGTTGTAAAGTTATGGCGGAGGAACCACATTTAGATGATGCCAATTGTCTGCTACTAAAATTAAATGTAAATATCTGTATAATTAGTATATACCGTCCTCCGAGCCAACACAACACAAATAATTTCGTTACGTCTCTAAATAGGCTTCTTGAAATATTATCGAACTATAAAAATATAATAATTTGTGGAGACAAATATCGATATGACAAAAAACACATCTGACAATCGCTCTTGTTACGGAAGCATAACCCGATATTAAGTTTTCGGTATAACAATTGTGTAAAGTACGGAATGCTGACTCTGAGCCATCGGAGGGACTGGGAAAGTGAAGTGGACACCACACGCCTTGCACCATCGGTGAGAATGAAGAATGGGATTTTACATATATTCAGTCTGGAGTCAACCGCTGACTTACAGACACCTCTTTAGTATGTAGTTAGTTATAAGACTTAATTATAGAATGGGTCTTAAGTCAATCTCTGACTTGAAGACCCCGCCCTAGCGAGTAGTTAAATTTAAGTCTTAATTGGTAATTGAATATATTTTGTAAGTAAAACGGATTTTTCTTGCAACCTTCGCTGCCACCAAACGTAATTCTCTCATGAATATTTGAATATGTTAGCTGGAAACTATTTTTTTTTTTGTTGACGGGGGGAAATCTTCGAAAGATTTCCGGCCGCGTGGAGGACACGACCGGGGCAAGGCAACCAAGTGTAATAGGTCGTGTACCAAGTGCAATTGGTCAAATGATGCAAGCATAATGATAGACACTTAAAGATTGTAAACTTTTAATTATGTATTACATATTATCAATATTGTCTAATTTTATCTTTTATTTCATATGTGTTGCTTGCTTTTCTTAAATATTACTCATGTTGTCTTATTTTATACCATAATTTGTATACCTTCATAGCATTTATAATTTTTTCTTTGTACATATTTCTTATTGTCGGGAGTAAGTATGGGTTCACCCATACATTAACATTATTTCATTGTATATACACATTCATAAACAAATATAAATGTAAGTTTGTCATAATTGGTCAGTATAAATAAAGCGTTCAAATAAACTTGTCGTTCTTATTACCCAAACGCGAGACTCACAAACTAGCTGGTCTCCATAAAACTATCAAATCTAAATGGTGTGTGGTACAAAACCCATACAGAATATGATTTCAAAATTGAGTATATAAAAGGTAAAGAAAACGTAGAAAACTTTGTCAAGAATTAATATTACGTCAAATGATTTAAAAGGCATGAATGAGCAAGTTATGGCAGTATTAACTAGAAAGCAAAATAAATAATGCAAGAAGATAGAGCAATGTAGAAAAGGCTACACCCTTTCTTATTAACACTGGAGACGAAAGGACTGATCATACTCGAGTTGTGGAGTTATTAAGAAAGCCATGTTATTCGATTGGAATGAAGTTGATAGGGGCATCTGAGTTAGATAAACTACGAAAGGGAAGTAGGCTTAGTAAAGAGTATAGTTTTTCTTATCGTCCGAGTAGACGAATGTTATACATTAACCTCAGCTTTAAGGCGCAATTCTCGCGAGTCGAATTTGTGACCATGTTGAGTGATTTTTATAAACAGCTTAGTATCGAAGAGATAAGTATATGTATAATAAGAGATAAAAGTAATGAACATTTTATAAAAGACTAGTAAACCTGGCGAACTCGTTTCGCCTCCAGAAGGCTTTGTATTAATTATTATATAACATTTCGTTTGGTGATTAAAAGATGAAGAATTTTTTTTGTTTTATATTTGAAAAGGAAAATTTTATTTCATTTCCCAACAGTAATGAATTCATTTCGATTACAAAAATGAAATGTTATTTAGTTGAACTTCTCTAAGTAAATGGAAGTGAATCCAAAGTAGATACC